GGAAGGGGAACAGACAAGTTGCTGTCCTTTTGTTCTTCAGTCTAGTTGTGGAGGATGTCGCTTCACTGGCCCATGTTGGTATTGTGATCATTGCATTCTTCCCGGCTAAGGCAGATTGGAGGTTGGCTATTGAACGGCCATTCATGGCGGCTCACCGCAACTCACGCCGGCTGCCAGCCACTCACACTGGCTGCCCGCCACTCACGGTAGCTCACGGCAGCCCACTGCAGCCTATGCTGTCGCTGGTGACCCATGGCAGCCCACCTCCAGGTCGAGCTTTTGTTCACCATCTCAGCTGCAGAGGGCGCAGCATCACTGGCCCATGTGGGATCCAAACTGGCGGCCGTGCTGCTCAGAGCTCATGCTCCCAAGCCAACTCTTAACCAACGAGCCACTTGGCTGGCCCCAGAAGTACTATTTTTAAAGAAAGACTTTTTTAGAGCAGTTTTAGGTTCACAGCCAAATTGAGAGGAGGGTACAAAATACCCCATTTATCCCCTACCCCCACACACCCACAGCCTCTTATATTATTGACATCGAACACCAAATACTGTTAATGGACCTACATTGACAAGTCATTATCACCCAGAGTCTATACATTAGAGTTGACACTTGGTGTTGTACATTTTATGGATTTGGACGAATGTGTAATGCCATGTTTCCATCATTATAGTATCATACAGAGTAGTTTCACTGTCCCCAAAATCCTCTGTGCTCTACCTGTTCATCCCTCATTCCCCTAACGCCTGGCAACCACTGAAATTTTTGTCTCTATACTTTTTCTTTTCCAGAATGTCTTATAGTTGGCATCATACAGTATGTAGCCTTTTCAGATTGTCTTCTTTCATTTAGTAATATGCATTTACCTTTCCTCCATATCTTTTCATGGCTTGATAGATCTTTTCTTTTTAGCACTGAACAATAATCCATTGTGTGGATAGACCACAGTTTATTTATCTGTTCATCTACTGAAGGACATCTTGTCTTCCAAGTTTTGTCATTAAAAATAAAGCTGCTATAAACATCTGTGTACAGGTTTTTGTGTGGACATAGGTTTTCAGCTCCTTCCAGTAAATATCAAGGAGCACAATAGCTGGATTGTATGATAAGAGTATGTTTAGTTTTATAAGAAACCATCAAACTGTCTCCAAAGTGGCTATACCATTTTGCGTTTCAGCAATGAATGTGAGTTCCTATTGCTCCATATCCTTGTGAATATTTGGTTGTCAGTGTCCTGGATTTTGACCATTCTAATAGGTATACGGTGTTATCTTATTATTGTTTTAATTTGCCATTCCCTGATGACATAAGATGTGGAACATCTTTTCATATGCTTAATTGCCATCTGTATATCTTCTTAGGTGATGTGTCTGTTAAGGTCTTCAGCCCATTTTTTAAATCAGGTTCTTTGTTGTTGTTTTTTTTGTTTGTTTTTTAAAGATTTTTTTTTTAATTTTTATTGGGGAATTAGGGGGATGGGAACAGACAAGTTGCTGTCGTTTTGTTCTTCAGTCTAGTTGTGGAGGACGTTGTTTCACTGGCCCAAGTTAGCACCATCATTGCGCTCTTCCCGGGCGAGGCACATCAGTTGCCGGCTTCTGGATGGCTGCTCACTGCGGCTGCTGGCCGCTCATGCTGGCTGCTGGCTACATATGGTAGCCCATGGCAACCCACTGCCACAGGGGCTGCAGCCTACACCTTTGCTGGCGACTCACAGCAGCCCAGCTCCAGGTTGAGCTGTTGTTCAGCATCTTAGCTGTGGAGGGCAGTGTCACTGGCCCTCATATGTGGGATCCGAACCGGGGCCCTCTGGCGTCCCAAGCCAGTTCTTAACCATCGTGCCACTCGGCTGGCCCTATTGTTGAGTTTTAAGAGAAGCATTTCTTAAACTAATTGAAAAGTTTATTGAAAAAATACCAGATGTTTAGATAAATTTGTATAACTATGGAAACTTTAGAATACCAACAAGGGTAAATCTTTTAGAAAAAAACATTTCTAAACTTAAATTATTAAAAGTAGTCAAAACTTCGTAATAGTTGCCAGCTCATTTAATGTCTATCAACACAAAAAAAACAGGATTAGGTGTATATGTTGTGCTAAATTTCTAGCAATACTTTGAATATATAAATATAAGTACTTCAAGGCATTGGATATTAGACTATATTACATTAACCCAAAATTTGAAGTCTTGATTATGTTATTGCTTTTCCTTAAAATTCTAGTTCATTCCTATTTTATTTCTATATAACTTTTATGTCTGCATAATTTATTAACTACATAATTTACTATTCAAGATTTTACACTGACTTCATAATTCAGTAGACGTGGCCATATGTTAACAGTTTGAATCATATTATCAATTTTTTAAAATTAAATCTTTGACATCTAGCTTGCACCTCACATAGGAAACTTGGTATGTACTAATGGGCTTCATTATACTTAGTGGATAGGAGCCAACTGAACCACCTTTTGGTTCCCATAGCATTCAAACCAGAGAACATGCTATACAGTGGAAAAGACAAACTAAATATCCCCTGGATCCATTAAAGTCTCATTCTCTCCCCTAAATGTGAAATCTTGAAAACGCCAAAAAAAGCCTTCAGTTGTCCGCTTCTCTGAATTTTCTTTCTTTACAGGAGGAAAGATCCAAAGTGAGATGGAGACCATTCCAGAAGCAGAACCACATGAAGAACTTTCCTGCTGGCAGATCTGGCAACAGATTGCAAATGACTTAATCAGGTGTCAAGACTCCATGATAAAGAGTTCTCAGTTCCCCACACAAGGGGATTCTCCCAGCCCTGTTGGGGTAGGACTATCGTTAACTCACACAGGCCAGAAACATTACCAGTGTAATGAATGTAAAAAAATTTTCACTGATGTCTCCCGCTTTGATCTTCATCAACAAATACACTCAGGAGAGAAGTCCCATACATGCAATGAGTGTGGAAAAAGCTTCTGCTATAGCTCAGCACTACGTATTCATCAGAGAGTTCACTTGGGGGAGAAACGCTATAAGTGTGATGAATGTGGTAAGGAATTCAGTCAGAACTCACGTCTGCAAACTCATCAGAAAGTCCACACTGTAGAGAAACCATTCAAATGTGAGGAATGTGGGAAAGGCTTCAGTCGTAGATCAACACTTACTGTTCATTGTAAATTACACACGGGAGAGAAACCTTACAATTGTGACAAATGTGGAAGGGCCTTTATTCACGCTTCACATCTTCAGGAACATCAGAGGATCCACACTGGGGAAAAACCATTCAGATGTGATATATGTGGGAAGAACTTCCGTCGTCGATCAGCACTTAATAGCCATTGTATGGTCCACACGGGAGAGAAGCCATACAAATGTGAGGACTGTGGGAAGTGCTTCACTTGTAGCTCAAATCTTCATATCCATCAGAGGGTCCACACAGGAGAAAAACCCTACAAATGTGAGGAATGTGGTAAGTGCTTTATTCAGCCTTCACAATTTCAGGCCCATCGGAGAATCCACACTGGAGAGAAACCATATGTGTGTAGAGAGTGTGGTAAGGGATTCATTTACAGTTCAAGTTTTCAAGCCCATCAGGGAGTTCACACAGGAGCGAAACCATACAAATGCGATGAGTGTGGGAAGAGCTTCAGGATGAAAATCCATTATCAAGTTCATCTCGTGGTCCACACAGGAGAGAAACCCTATAAATGTGAGCTGTGTGGGAAGGGCTTCCGTCAGAGTTCATATCTCAAAATCCACCAGAAGGCCCACAGTGTGGAGAAACCTTTTAAGTGTGAGGAATGTGGGCAGGGCTTCAATCAGAGTTCACGACTTCAGATTCACCAGCTGATTCATACTGGGGAGAAACCATTCAAATGTGAAGAGTGTGGAAAGGGATTCAGCCGTAGAGCAGATCTTAAAATTCATTGCAGAATCCACACAGGAGAGAAACCGTATAATTGTGAGGAATGTGGAAAGGTATTCAGTCAGGCCTCACATCTTCTGACCCATCAGAGAGTCCACAGTGGAGAAAAGCCATTCAAATGTGACAAGTGTGGGAAGAACTTTAGTCGGATTTCACACCTTCAAGCCCATCAAAAAGTCCACACTGGATTAAAGCCATACAGATGTGAAGAGTGTGGGAAGGGCTTCAAGTGGAGCTTGAATCTTGACATGCATCAGAGGGTCCACACGGGAGAAAAACCATATAAGTGTGGGGAGTGTGGTAAGCACTTCAGTCAGGCCTCAAGTCTTCAACTTCATCAGAGTGTCCACACAGGAGAGAAACCATACAAATGTGATGTGTGTGGTAAAGTCTTCAGTCGGTCTTCACAACTTCAGTATCATGGGCGAGTTCACACAGGGGAGAAACCTTACAAGTGTGATATATGTGGAAAGACCTTCAGTTGGAGATCAAATCTTGTAAGTCATCACAAAATTCATACTGGCAATACATTGTATGAAAGTGACGAGAGTGGTAAGAACATCAAAGAATTGTCAGAGGAAAGGAGTTCTATAAAATGATGTTTTTTAAAAACTCATGTGCCACCTGAATTCTTATAATCATCAGGTTTCATAGAAGAGAAAATATTTGTTTCAGTTTAGTGGGTGTTTAAGCGATGGCTGAACATATCTCAGTTTTCAGTGGACCACTTTTGTAGAAGATGCAGTAAACGCTTCCGAACTTTGACAATTATCAGATGTCACTTAGGAGATGGGACTTCGAAAGGAAAAGAGTTTGGTCTGGCCTTTAACAAAAGTGTAATGATGGGCAAGCCAGGACTGACACCCACTAGAATGTAAGCTCTATGAGGGCAGAGCCTTTGCTGCTGAGTCTATACAACCTTCACATTGACTTGTGCTGGGAGGTGTGCTCTGTACCTGTATGTTACATAAACCGAAAGGAGAAAATGTACAAGATCTGAAATTGTATCTGGAGGAGGAAACCTGAAAAATAAAATTAATTCAGGAAAGTGAGCATTTATTGAAATGCAGAAAACCACTCAGTATTACAGTCCTCAATATGAATATGGTATTATCCTATTGCAATGGGCCCCTGTCCTCCTCCACAGCCTCTTCTCAAATCAGGTTCTTATTATTTGGGGCCCCGTGTAGTTTTGCAAGGATTGTGTGCAGTGTAATTGAACCATCTTTTGTGATTTTGCTGACAGTCCAGATTGAAACATTTCTGTAACTTTACAAGAAGTTGCTGCATATTACACAGTTGACTTTTATATTGGGTTGTCAGAAAAGTCATGATGCATTTTTGCAAAAAAAAAAACAGAAAAAATACGTCACAACTTTTCTGACAACCCAATATATCAATGTTAAGGTGGGTGTTTACTGTAACACTTTGACAGTGTCCCAGGTAGTTACCAGTGACATTTTTCTTAACCTTGAATTTATTATAGATTTTTAATTCTCTGCATTTGCATCCAACTTTGAAATGTTTGCCTTATGATTACTGTAACATTTCTTTTATCAAAACTTCTCAGGTAGGGGCTATGCCATATTCTTTCCCCATACCCATGAAATGAATACCCCAAAATTTGTGGGAATTTGACAATTTTATCAAATTTATTACTGAGGCAAGGCTGACGTTTATTTGCTCTTTTCTGTTGGTAGCGGTGAAGCATGGTTTGGGGAAAGGGTATATATCAGAATATAGGCTGTATATCTCTTTGATCTGGAAATCATTTATTTGGAAGTTATGATTATGAGACCAAAATTCCAAGCAGATGAACACTGTATCAATGATGTCACTGAGTTTTTAAAAGTGGATATAAGTGTACATCTATAGGAATTTGAATTTTGATAATATTCCTATATTAACCTGAAGCCATTAAAAATTATGGCAGATAACTGTAAGGACAGGAGAAATATATAACATGGGCTTTGAGAAATCATAGACTGAAGCCTTCATAGCACAATCAATCTTTGTGAGTGTGTGTATGTGTGTGTTTGCACATGTGCTTGTGTAAGGTAATGTGTAAAAAGGTACAACTCATAGTGGTTTTCATTGGCAAGGAGCATTTTGTTGTATTTTTCCATTTATAATTTCATAACTTATGTTTTAGTATTTCATTGAACATGGAATACTACCAAAGCAGTAAATTATTACAATAGAATTTTTAAAGTACTAAGTAATTATTCCTTACAGTTAAGACCTCATACATAATATGAGTGTTGTATGTTGTCATGTGGCACATAAGATCAGAATTAAAGAAGGGACTCTAGAAGCCACTTTCAAAACCAAAACACTCTTCTGGTTGTTTTGCATACACAGATAAATTGATGAGTTTCCACAACCATATCTTTGTAATTTATGCATGCTGTACTTTAGGTATAAATTCATAACAGGAAGAGGGCCAGAAACAAAATGGGTATACGTACGTTGTGGAGGTATTAAAAAATATATATTCCCTGTTGAAAAGGTATGCATAGGAAAGAACATAGCATACTAACCATGCCTCTTCTGGATGTGGAACAGAGCAGGTTTGGATTCCACACCATACTCAGACACGGTGATATTAAAGGGCTTTACTCAGCAAATTATATCTAATTGGGGAGACTGGTTTCCACAATTTGTTTTCTGGACCATACCTTAACAGTATGCTAGGTAATTATTAAGGTCCATGCTGTCTCAATTTGTGTGGTGTATTTGGAGTCCCCAAGATGTCCTCCAGGCCTGTCATTGGCTGGGCGTACTTACAAGACAGTAATCATAGTCATGACTGTGATTTGTTACAGTGAAAGGATGCAAAGTAAAATGAGCAAAGAGAAAGGTACAAAGGATGAAGTCTGGAGGAAATCAGATGTAACCTTCCAAGAGTCCTCTCTCTCTGGAATCACGATGTACTGAATTCCTTCAGCACTGAATTATGATAACATGTGAAGTGTTTACCAGGGAGGCCTATTAGAGACTCAATGCCCTAGGGTTTTATTGGGGGCTGGTCACGTAGGCACTCTCTACCTAGCATCTACCAAGATTAGAGACTCTCAGAAGGATAATAGGTGTTCGGCATAAACCACATTGTACAGATAGCTTAGGCACTGTGAGCTTGTGTCAGGGAATAGTAGGAACCCAGACACTGGTCAAGAGCCAACCTTGCAATCAGGCCTTTCTAAGGATTGCATTCTCAATTCTATGTTACCTTTCCTGCAAATACATGTATGACATCAAAAATCCAGTGCCTTCATTTTTATTTTTATTTGCTTTTTTTTGCTGTTATAAGATACCATAATAGGTCCTCTTTCTTCAAAGTAATTTGTAACCACAAATTCAGTAGGTAAAACCAAAATGATTTGTTGTCCTTATAACTGATTAGATTGCAGAGATAGCATACATTTACTCTCCTGGGTAACCTGAACTCCATGTTGGTCACAAGATAACCATAGCACCTGTGAGCTTTGCAATTTTTTGTTTGTTTGTTGTTCTTTGTTTACAGTTGAGAAGAGCTGTCTTATTTGTAGTATGTAGTTCATGTCCCAAAGTGACACTAACCTTGACTCCCATCCCTGCTCAAGATTAATTCCCAGCTCTGTGCCAAGTTCCTCCCACTTTTCAACATGAATTTGACTTACCTGTTCATTTCTGACCTCTGGGGATTTATTTCCCTGTCTTGACTCTAAGCTGGCTACTGTGATGATGGTCTGTCAGTTTGACTGGGTCGGGATATCTGTGAGAATGTTTCTGAATGTGATTAGTATTTCAGCCAGTGGACTCAGACTGTCCTCCCCAATGTAGATGGGCGTCGTCCAGTCCATTGAGGACTTGAATAGAACAAAAGGAGGAAGGAGGAATTGGCCCACTTTTGTTTCCTGCCTGCCCGCTTCAGTGGAGACATGTCATTTTTCTGGTCCTCAGACTGGAATTTAAACCATAGGCTTCCCTTGTTCTCAGTCCTTGAGACTTGGTCTGAATAACACCACCGGCTTTCTTGGGTCTCCCTTCTCAGTCTCCATAATTGCATGAGCCAGCTCCTTATACATGTATCTGAATGCATATATATCTGAGATATCTGCTCACCAGGCTTCCCTCTTGGAACTGGCTCAGGCCACAGGGCTTTGGGATAACCACATGAGCATCGTCCTGGAGTTTCTTAGGGGCATTTGGTCAGTTACACACATTGAGTAGAGCTCAAAGACAACTCTAGATAGAGAAACAGGGATGGGGCATACCTGTGTCCAGGTCTAGTCTTGGGCACCCCACCTGGACAGCACTGCTCGTTGTGACCAATCACAGGCCTTGGAGTGAGATTTTAAAAACTTTGAGGAAAAAATACAAATTGTGGAGACCCTTGAAGCACAGGGTCCAGAGCAGGGAACTCACTTACCTGGCCCTAAGGGTAGTACTCTGTCACATCCCATAGCCAATCTCACCCCATCTTGCAAAGCGCACTATGGTGACTATCCTTGTTCATTTGGTTTTGAGCCGTAGTCTTAATGTTCCCATTTTTTGGGGTGAAGACTGTTAAGATCAGGGCATGAACACCTCAGTGAGATTGACATCACCAGAACTGTATTCCAAAACGATTGGGCGTATGTCACAGAAATTATACTACTAATTATATTCCCAAGAGCACTGAAAACATATATCCACACAAAAACTTGTGCAAAAGTGTTCATAGCATTATTCACAATAGGCAAAAAGTGAAAACAATCCTATGCCTGTCAACTGATGAATGGATAAACAAAATGTTTTGTATTCACACAATGCAATGTTTTTCAGCAATATGAAGGAATAAAGTAGTAATTAAAGCTACTACATGGATGAACTCTGATGACATGCCAAGTGAAAGAAGCCAGACACGAGATAATGTGTGGTATGATTGCATTTGTATGAAATGTGCAGAATAGGCCAATCCATAGAGACAGAGTAAATCAGTGGTTTCCAGGGGTTGGGGGTGGAGGATGGAGTTGGGAATGAGGAGTGACTGCTAATGTGTAGGGGACTCTTTTTGGGCAGACAGGAGAGTTATAGGATTAGATGGCGGTGGTCATTGCACAGCACTGTGAATCTTTTCAAACATGGAGACATGATAATATGTGATAATCCCCCCTCTAAGTGTTAAAACATAGCTATATTAGATTAGCCAAGGTTCTCCCAACAAAAATCAGTATTACGACTATACATTCAATACACTAGCAAAACTTAGGGTGACAAGGCATCCAAATGAAGGTGAGGAAGTGGTTACACTGAAAACCTAGGGTTACTCTTGGTAATGTGGGCTGCTATAGCCATTCTGGAGGTCAAGCTGGCTAATGTGAAATTTAAGTATACACATACGCTGTGAAATAAT